ATGACAATAAAAGAATATGACTTTAAGGACTTAACAACATTACTTCAGTTTTATTACACCAACATCTCTTATATACATTAGCAGTAAGGGAACACTGAATGACCTGGTGGGTTTTGTCCATAAAACTACCCATCTAAGATTACCACAAAGTAAAAGATTTCTCAGCAAAATTATGCAACATTTTAGGCATGTTTTTAGGGTGAGTGCATTTTTAAAACAATTTCTGCAAACTGCACTACAAGTTGGAATATTTGCAAAATCATGGCTACCTCATGATATATTGTCTCAAAATTAACTCTATGAATATGTAAGTACCATTAGGATGAAATTTTAATGTTAGACATATAATGTTAACAGCCGCTATAAACTAATATCCTGGCTTGCTCGAGGCTGCCGTTTTCTCTGACAGTTTCAATCAAAATTAGAAATGCTGCTCTGAGAGACTGAGATAACTAATAGTGCTTCCTGTTGTGCAGTTAGTTTCCAAAACACATTATTCATGGTTACAATTTTAGACTGATGTGGGCCAAAGCCTAGCACAGCCTGTAACGTTATTATGACGGACACATTTTATGAGTGAACTTGACTTTAAGTGATTTACAGGTTTCTTTGAAAAATACTTTCTTATATCCAGGTTCTTCCTTTTTGCTGCAGTCCTCCTCTCCTCCTGGAAGCGCAGGCTTGGCGCTGCTAAAACTAAACAGAGCTCCCTGAAAGGCACAGCCAATCACATTGGCCATATTTGTCACATGAGGTAGGACTCCAGTAGAGGATATAATTTAACTCTTTCTGCACCGCTGGGTGAATGAGACGTTGACAGATCGTTATTTCTTTCTATCAGGTTTGTTTTTCTTTACTCGAAGAGATCAAATTATTGGTGGGGAAAATTCAATAATTGCTGGATATTGGTGGGGACATGTCCCTTCGTCCATGCCAAATCTACGCCCTTGGTGTACCAGTTAAGCCAACTAAAGCAGTTATGTGCACTTGTTATGCTGGTGTTAGGTATATCAGAAAAATGCTCACATATATTCAGTGTTTTGGTATTTCCTTATATTGGTCACATGTAGACTGTTTGTGATGCCGATATCAAACTCGGTGTCCTTTGTTTTTGCTTTGTGCAGCCGGTGAGGAGACACTCTAGTAGCAGAGATGTCATGTGGTCATGGTCATGCACCTGGTGGTGCCACAGTCTGCTTGATCAAGTTTCTTTCTTTCTTCATTTGTTCCTTCCTTTTTCTCTCACTTTCCAAAATGTGGCTAATACTTACATTTCTATCATTAAATTACAGAGCATGATAACGCTGAACTTAAAAAAAGTACTCACCTGGCTTGATGGGACTTTGTAAGATGAAGCTCTTTGTTGCCAGGCCTGCTACTTTATTGTTTTGGTTTATTTTCACTACCCTCATATTTTTAAGAGTTGTTTGCTGTTTTTAAACCACTTGCTCCCTGCAAGACCAGTAGAAATTTAACTGCCCCGCTTTAAGTGAAATGATGGGAAAGTGTGGTGCAGTGGTCCTCAGGCTGGCAGTACTGTCAGTTGAAGAGATGGCCTACTTTGAAGAGAAGATTGTAATTTTATTTTTAAGCAAATCAGACTGATTATACAATCAAGTTTTTAAAAAAGTGGGAACAAAATGTGCACAATTTATAGACTATTATACGAGAATTATTTGCAAAACTTTGCAAATAACACCACATTTAGGTGAAAAATCTGCTGAGTTGAGAAATCTGCACAGCAGACAACAACAAACTGTACGACTTCTGCTGCCAATGATTGAAGTCATGGAATGGTGCTCCATGCTCAGACCACTCAAACCACGAAGTTCTCAACAACTGCAAGACTACTGATCTCCCTCAGGTTGGAGGAGCTGACGCCTGTCCCTCCATTCGTTACTGTCCCACCTGTGGTCACTTTAGCCTCCAAAGTTTTCAAGGTATCATTTTCAAATTATTTGTGATGATAGAAAAGACCAATAACAGCTCGAGCTGAATTAATTCTGGTGAAAATCGGGTCAAAATCACAGCAAATGTGAAAACTTTGCATTAACTTCATGTTTTCATGGATCGTCTTCAAACTACCTACAAATACCCAGGTTGACTAGTCATATGACCTCAACCTTCACTGTTAGTACCCAACATCAAAACTGAGACATAATAAAACATTAATGTTTAATTATACCCCTTCCAGTGCGGGAGGAGTTGCTTTCTCTGAAAGCTGTTGTTTAAACTAGTTTCTACACCGTTCATTAAACTTTACTATTTCTAGTAATTACCACGCGGTGACTTTGTTTCTTCTTCCCTTCAGGCAGGTGGACATCTAGTTTGTTTTAGGAAATAACCAGCATGTTATTCCGACTGTAAAACATTTCAAGATGAGCTATACTTATATAAAGTACAATAGTAAAATGCTGTTTAATTATGTATTTTGCTTTTATATATGTTCCTTTATTTTGTTTAAGGCACATTTCTAATACAGAACTTTACTAATCTTTGTGCTGTACTGGAACAGGTAAGTGTTACATAAAGCAGTTTCACCCCGGTTCTTTTTTATTCCTCAGGCCTCCAGAGACTGCACCGGACTCAGTAGTCATTTCACAAAACCTTTATTCATCTTCAGTTACGCATGCAACTTCCAGAAGGGAAGACATGTAAGGCCGGTGTCCGTCTGCAGATCTTCACTTCTTTGTCTGTTTCAACCAGTTTTATAGAAGCGACCCCATCACAAAACCCACATGGTGTGTTGTAAACTCTGTGTTTGTGTATGTATGCGCAAGAACGTGAGTGCCTGTGTGTGCGCGTACCTGTGTATGTATGTGTGTGCATGTGTGTGTGCATGTGTGTGCGCATGTGTGCACGTGTAGGTACCCCTGCGTATGTGATTCCCTGCCGGTCATAAAAGTCCATCTCCCCTCCAGACCACAATCATCAGGTTACAAACACTGAGAGCCCCACCCCAGGTATCCCCTGGGGAATTTCCACTCAGCTATAACTTCTCTTTCTCTTACTTTCCCAACTCAAGGGGGGGGGAGGGTCTCCTATAAGTCTACTCCTAATTTTATGACACGTTCAGGCCTATAGCTAAACCAAACTGAAGCACACACATTCACAAATCCTTTCCTATTCATCTGATCTACAGCTGGACCCTCTCATCTAAGAAAATTTAACACATTATATTTTAATTATGTTTTCTTTTACTCACATAAGGATAGAATAGAATAGAATAGAATAATCCTTTCATTGTCCCACAAGGGGAAATTTGGGTAAAAGCAGCAAGAAAGACACATATACAAACAAACAGTACACAATGTATCCTTACCTTACGGATAAGGATACATTGTGTACTGTCGAGCTTCAGGCCTGTAAAGCAGTGACAACATGACAGGAAATGCGGGGAGAAATGATGACGCTGCTATAACCAAGACTGACTCTGTTTTTGTCATGCAGTACTTCGCATGACTATAAAACTTCCCAATTAAACATGAGTTGAACTTCAACTTCTTTATCAGCAGAGAGATGTCTCAAAACATAATCTGTGATAAGCTTTCTTGTTTTGGCAATCTCTAAAGCAACATTCACCTCTCTCAAATGTGGGTCAAAGTTTGGTAAATCTTTGCTGATCTGTAATATGATGAAACGTACGTGTGAGTATTACATTTGCAACATGGAAGCAAATTCAGATCATTTAAAATTACCTAAAAAAATAAAAAACACTCTATTGCGCCAATTTCATATGCAGGTCTGGAGTATAAGTTTCTACCTTTCTGCCAAAACTCAAACAGAAAGGTGAAGCTAAGCTAAACCTTGTTTGCTTAGTTCTTCATATCAGCTGTCCTGGCTCTGCCAAGTGAGTCATTAAATAACATACCGTGTCTTTGTGCTTCTGGGAAAGATTTCTTGACTGTATCAGTAACTTCCTGGAGTGTTTTACACTGCGTTTTTGGTTAAAGCTCAGCTTATCCTGGTGTATTTTCTTACCCTTTATTTTAGCCTATGTAAGCATTATTTCCAAACAAACTATTCAGGCTTAAAATTTCTAAAAATGTGGTAACAACAAACAAACCTTTTATGCAGCATCTTTGATCGTGTGACACACCTGAAGCTGTTCAGTGGCACTACAATCTAAAAACATAACAAGGATATAAGGAACACAACTGCAACATCATCAATCTCACATAAGTGTGAGCCACGTGTTTTAACAGTGGATTTTACACCACTTACCTGCAACAGGAAGCTTTTTTAGCTTCTTTGTGAACATTGCACCAAATTCTGGATTTAAGCTATGTCCCTGTTAATGAATGTTTGATGGTTTCACACCTTAACTTTTGTTTCACATGTATGGATTCGCCCTGGCCTTTTGATACACTGGCAATTTTCCACTCTGGCCAAATTGTATAAGATGATAAGAAAACTGATGCATAGATACAGTATTGCAGAAGTTTAAACGCTGCAAGTAGATCAAGACCAAACATTTGGTGTTAAAACAACTTCAGAACATGTACAGAAAACCAACCTTTTTGTAAACCTTTTTTTTAAGCTTCTCTGCTTATAAACTAGAGGGTTTTAGTAGCAGCAACATCAAAAAAGTACCTTTTTGGTGGATTTAAGAAAATGAAAGTGTTTGAGAAAAACGGAGACACAAAGTTTGAGTTTAGCAGAGCTTCACAAGGTCTTTTTAAACTCTGCGTTTATTCATGATGAAGGTAGTTGTGTGTGGAAATAGACTTGCGCTTAATATTTACCATCTCTGCTCTTTAATTAAATCTCTGTCAAGTTCACACAATCGGTGACTTAAAATAGTGTTAATGAAATAGTTATCATTTCACCGTTAATAGAGTGTTCTTACAGGTCTCTTTAAATTCAAAAGAATACGAAAGAATACGCCAGATTTTCAAAATTCCGACACACACTGAATGCAACACTAAGGTGTAGCAGAAGTGAAAGAGAAAGCGCTACTCCAGTGTTTTAAACTGCACTAGAGATAGAGATATCCTATACTCAAATATTCCATAAATTAAACACTTTTATTGCCATAGATCTTAGAAAACATCTTTAAGATATCTAAAATATCCCTGTTACCACTGAAGGTATGTTTGAATCTTTTGTTTTTGTGTACTTGTGTATTCCATTTGAAAATAATTAGGTTTGTTTTATTCTTCATCAGCAATTTCTTTGAAAAGCACTGTCTGTCTGGGGAAGAAACTTCTTTTTTGGTATTGTTTTTGTTTATTATAGTTTTTTTTTTCCGTAGCCTCGTCGAAAGTCATTAAATGTAGCTTAGAAAAGCAGCGTGTTGTAGTGGTAATATCGTAATACTCAAAGTGTTTTCTATTCGAGATGTTACTGAAAGCCTGTCACTGGCTGTGGATTTGGCACCTTATGTACAAAAACATGGGCCTTTGTTTACCTGCTAGTAATAATTAATAATAAATAATGTTGTTGTTGTTGTTTATAAACAAATACTGACTGGTGTATAGACTTTGAATTCATTTGCAGCTCTCCGTAACACAGAATTGAAGTGACTGAAAATGTCTCTGTTGGAGAGTACTCGGCGGCTATTCAGCAGCACCTCTCTTGGTAAGATCTGTTGCCAGTTGTTTTTTTTTTAATGTTGGTTTTTTTATACACATATATTTAACATCTAGGTCTATTGTTTTTAGATGACTTTCAATAACCGCCCTTACAGGTAGAAACACTTCTCTCAGACACTCCTAGTTTAGACTGTGCTTTTCACACTGTGTGTGTGAATGTTTGGATGACTGAATGTGTGAAGCGCTTTAGGGTCCTCAGGGACTAGTAAAGCGCTATACAAATACAGGCCATTTACCGTTTACCATTTTGTCTAGCCGCACTGCTATAAGAAAGACGGTTTCTCTGAACGTCTTCCATTTTACAAATAAAGTTTTAATGACAACCTTGACCTTAATGGTTCAGTTTGAATTTTTTTGTCAATTCTTATTGTTTTTCATTGATTTAATTGATTAGCAGAAGGGGTTTTAATCTATGAGCCACCATAATTATTTGCTCATCGTTCTGAAATTTACATGATCAGTCTCCTCCCAGTAGCTAACAGGTACCATGGACTGATAAACCAGGGAGCGACAGATTACTTGAACAGTGTGCTGCAGGTGCTGTTCATGACCAAGGACTTCAGAGAGGCTGTGACAAGGTTTGTTACAGCCCAGCTTTAAGTGTAATCCTGTATTTATCAAATATGAAGTCTATTGTGCATTTTTAATTACTCGTATTTACCTTCCATGTAGGTACTCTGGAGAAAATCCTTACTCTGAGTTTATTGATCATCATCTTAAAGTCTTATTTGATGACTTACAGAACTACACAGCATGCACATATAAGATAACACAGAAGCTGGGCATTGACAATGGTACAGTATGTTAACACACAAAACAGCACAACCTTTGAATTGTTTGAAGAGTCTAATAAATTCATCTAAAGTAGATCAATTTACAACAAGTCTTGAAGTAAAGTCTTCTTCAGCCTGTGCAGTTTTTTAATGTAATTTAATAGTTTAACTTGTTTAAATTGTTAGACTGGATAATTCTAAAACATTTTTAATTAAATAACTTAATTGTTTTGTTGAAAGCATGCACATATATTTCCCCACCCAGTGTATGAACAGCGTGATGCTGCAGAGTGCTTGGAGAGGGTTTTAAGAATGACCAGTCCGGATACATCAAAGGTAGAGACTGTTCTCTTTGACTGGTTCCAAAAGTGAGCCTATCAATATGAAAGCTGGGTAAAAAATATCACTTGCCAACAAGTATTTGTGCTTTTTTCAGATCTTCCACGGTCAGTTAGTAAACAAGACCACCTGCTCTAAAGATCATGTAGAGACTGACAGAGATGCACCTTTTTGGTTTCTTCCTCTTTCACTGGTGGATTCCTGCAGTGAAGACTACAGCGTGGTAAGGATATGACAAGTAACAAAGAGACGTGCAATACATAATAATTTTTCTGCAGTAAAATTCTGATTTATGGCACTGATGCAGAGAAAAATAATTAGATGTCCATGTTTCAGTCAGAGACCAGCACGCCGAAATAATTTTAACATTAACACAAATGAAAGACTGTGTTCAAAAACCAGTAGAGTGAGTTTATTTGATGGCAGCTGCTAATAATGCAAAACTTTTTTACATTTTTTTTATGTTAAATAAAGTTAGTGTATTGAAAACCTTCCTCCCTGAGAAAACATTTACCAGCACTTTACAATCACAGCCTTTATGCTGGTCAGCACATCTTTGTCAGAGCTGATTTTGAATAATATTTTTCAGGTGAAGGGCATTGAAGAGTTTTTTAAAACTTCAGATTTCTGTGGAGAAAATCAGATGTACTGTGAGCAGTGTGATGACAAAGTTGATGGTAGTATGGTGAGTTAAAAATGATTCTTTTATTATTCTTTAAATAAAATTATGAAACCATATTGACTTGTAATGGAAGCAGACAAGCTCCTTGAGGTGACTGTTGTTGTGATTTGGTGCTGTATCAGTAAAACTGTCCTAAATTAAATGTTTTTCATTCAGAGAGATGTAATAAAGCATCATCCAGATGTTTTGTGTCTGCTGCTGAAGAGGTTTGAGTTCAACTATAATTACATGTCATACTTCAAAATCACCTGTTCTGTGGAGGTTCCCTACACCCTGCAGATACCAGAGGTAAATGTGCAGAATATTTTAGTATTTAATCATAATCCATTTTGTTTTCTTCAGTCATTCTGATGTTTGCCATTTTTCCTTTGGTAATCAGAGTCAGAAATATGAACTATATGCGTTTCTGGATCATTTTGGGGATCTGAGAGGTGGACATTACTCTGCCACAATCAAGATCCAGGAGGACCACAGAGACAGATGGTATCAGTTTGATGATGCCAGAGTCACAGAGGTACGATGGATCACTTATACATTTTTGATACCAAAAGACGTTCCTACATTACTCATGCGTGACAGTGGCCCAGCTCATCATTCATCTCATACTTTATTATTTTTTACATCATCAGCTTGATTTTCAGCCATTCCAGCTGGATAACACTGAGAAGTAAGTTTTCGTGCTTGTTACTTCCACTGTAAATTATTTTCCAATTATTTCTTAACTTTTCACACGAGTATGCACTAAACATGCGTTAAATACACTTTTCTCAATTACAGTGTGCTACATGTTGAAGTATCATATCACACTGTTGCTATAATCACAACTGCAGATTTTTCTGTGATTGATTCAACTCTGTCCCCAAAACTCTCCTGTGCAAAAGCAAAATAATAAAATCAATGAAAACAATTAAAACATTTATGTGTATCTTTTAATATTTACTCTGTTAGTAAAATGTAAACATACACAGACACATATTAATACGTCGGAAAACACTGCTGCAAAAAATAAATATGTTATAAAATATTAGCCAAACACATCACTGCGAAACTGTGAAAGTAACATATTTGTTACATGTCATATTTGTCAATTAGGTCCCAGACTACATATCTTCTGTTTTATAGCAAAAAGAAAGGTAAGAGAAAATATTTTTGTTGTCGTTTCCTCAGCTGTTTGGTGCCTGAATGATTTTGTTTCTACTTTGTGCTTCATGCTGCAGATACTGCTATTCCAGAGTCCACAGATATGTCCACCAGTGGACTACCCACCATCAGTAATGAATATGATCAGAGTCAAGATGGGAAAAATAAGAGCAATAGAAAGAGAAAACGGGAGAAGACAGACACAGCAGATAATCCAAAGACTGCTCGCTTAAGAGAAGCAGGGGGATCACCTGACACCCCCTGTAACATAGATCCTCTGGACAAAGAACCAAATGAGGACAAAGGAACCACTGGAAGTGATGACCTGGATCAAAAACACACAGAAGTGGATGATGCTGAAAAGAACAGCATAGATATTAATATTGATTTTAAACTTGATAGCAGTGATCGATCAGCAGTCTGTGATGATCTAAGCAGACAGTATGAGATGAGTAAATTAATGGATGATAAAGCAGATAATGATGAAAAGGCTAAAGATAAACAGTCAGAGAAAAAAAGCCATGCAGAGCATCCAGCTGACACTGTTGGAGAGAACATATGTGAACATCAGGAGAATAAACAAACCTGTAGTCCTTCTCATGCTGAGGAGAAAACAAAAACAGATTTTCAACATGACACAAAAGGAAAGATTAGTGCTGATAAACCAACAGCAGAGATGTGCTGTGACACATTTCAGGATAAAGAAAAAGCTGATGAAGGAAAAGAAAGCATACTACAAGATGATCAGAGTCATAAACATGGAAACAGACACAGTGATACACTGAACATGCAGGAGATCAGTGTTACACATTCAAGTGATAATGATGTTTGTGTAGAGAGAGAAATCAGAGATGTGAAGGAGGACAGGAGAGAAAGAAAAGGAGACGAAAAAGGTGACCACAGTAAGTTTGAACAAAACACAGTAGAGGAGGTAAGTGGTGCTGCTACAACACAGAAAGATGTTGATGTGGAGGAAAAGAAAGAATATGAAGGAAATACTAAACAAATTCAGATCAGAGAGAAACCCCATCTGAGACCAGCAGGAGCAGAAATAATAGAAGCACCCAAAGAAAAACAGGATGATGCTACTAATGAAAAAACTAAAGCAGAGAGTTTTCAACTAAAAGCCAGACCAAAAATTCAGGGAGTCACAGAAGGAGGACGTGGTTCACAGAAGTCAGGAAAAGTTCAAATAACTTATGAAGAAAAAATGCAGACTCCAGATTTTGAAATCATCAGGACAAAGATGAAAAACATGAGAATAGAAAGTGTAGGGAAACCCACACAGGGCAGCTCTGATGTAGATGATGTAGAAATAGAAGCTGCTAAATCAAGTGGGTTGTGTTCATGTTTTGTCGCTTTGAAAAAATACAAATAAAAAAGCCAGACCAGGATTTGGAGTCAAATTAAGTTGAATCATTATTAAATGATTATTTATTTTATGTCTCCACATCCTTATGCTAATTAAACATTTAATTGAATGTTTTATATTTTTCAACAGAGATTGAAGCTCTTTAATAACGCTTATGCTTTTGTCTTGGTCTAATTGGAGAATGCAGCATGAGTGTTGTTTCCCTTTTTTATTTAATATAATACATTACCAGTCTGCCCGAGACAGTAACAGTAGTGAAATTGAACTAATATAAACAAATCATGTTATGTTAAGGTGCTTTAGAATCAGTTTAGAATAAGTATGCACTATTTATCTTATTTGTTGCTTTATCTAATTAAATTTTTGCTTTTTAATGTTGTGGCTCTTTAACTGGGATGTATATTTTTAAATCATCTGGTCGATATCTTAAATACATTGTTTCCCTGTTTAATATTTCCTAAATTGTTTTTCATATTAGTTATTTCACTTTCTTTTCTGCAAAGAAACTGAGGCATGTTTCATTATTGAATATGCAGCTGTCACTTTAGCAATAAACATCAGCAGAGAGAGCACATTTCTTTGTTATATACCCCTCTGAAGTCTTACTTTTGAAAAAAATCTGTAAAAACAGCATATAAGGACATAAAGGAAGGAAAAAAAGTAAACTAAACATGTGAACACATTGGAAAATTGGAATGCAAGTCAAGTACTAATACTACAAGTTACAAATCTGAGTATGCACATACAGAGATTTAGTTTTAACAACTTTGCTACAGTAATTTTCACAGACCTAGTAAAACAAGTATACTTGGTGATGTGGCAAGTCCTTTGTACACAGGTGTTTCTCCCACACCTTCTTTTACTGCTTCAGTCTCAGCTGAGATCATATCATGCCAGAAAATTTGCTGTACCAGGAAACATGTCTTTACAACTATAGTATAAATACATCTGTCTGTAACCCTGTGATTCAGCCTGATAATACCTTACAGGGTTATTTATTAATTTTCAGAAACAAAGTCTTATTTTAGAAAATCTTGTTTGGTTTTCAAGTGGTCAAGTCATTTATTGCTTTGTTTTCATTGCAGAGATAGGTGCCAGCTATCACTGACTTTGAACTGGATAAGATTTCAAGAAGATATATTAGAAGATTTTTATATGCTTTCAGTTTCTTTGTGGCAATAATGGGTCATGTGTCCACAGAACAACAGCAATTTTAAACTATTACTAACAGTTCAGTTTTTCTTTTTTTATGTCAAATAATGGGTTTTATGTACTGCAGTTGAAGTAAACCTTTGCCCTTTGTGGTAATGATAATGCTGTCTGTGTGAAGTTCCTTATTCACCACTCACAGCTTAGATTAACAGATTACTTCAAAACACTTTTTTATTTAGTCAAACAGAATGTGGAGCAACAGGTTGCCACATACCAAACACCACAGTTGGGTAATTTCCCTTAATTTTTTATTTTCAGAGAACAAAATGCCTGGCTCACATAATCCTCATAAATTCTCAAAGCACTTAACAGTATCAAACATATCTTCCACTGGATGGTTAAACAGGTGTGTCCACCCCACTGTAACTTTAAAGTAAGCTGATAAAATATTTCCAGCAAACACACACATTGTCATTCAGATGAAAACTGGAAACTACTTAACACACTCTCATTAGTCTCATATGTAACCAGAACAATGATATGTGTGTTTTCTTTCTTTTCTTTCTTTCTTTTTTTTTTACTGCTTCACATCCGGTTTGTTGTGCCAAATGATGGCCATGAGTGAATTCATCAGTCCGGTTATGTTAGGTTTAATGTATGTGTTGTAGGTTGCCATTTAAAAGCTACACATTGCCATTTAAAAAGCTAGAATACTTTTGTTTGCTTCCTATGTAACCCATGAATATGTGTATGTACACGACCTCCATAAAGGGATTAAGCAGCCTTGAGAAGAACAGACTCTACTCAATGAAGGAAGCCACCTGGCGGGACAAGATAACGACAACATCCTGGGAGGGCTGCACTCACATCGTATAACCACGCTAGCACAACACACTTTGTAACCATATATAGTAATTTGTCTTAGTTAATACAGCAACAAGCTTTATGAATATCCATGTGTGTAAACAATAAAAACAACCTGCAGGGGGAAGCAAGTTGAAGTGGGTTGGAGACAACTACTTCCGTCTCACGAGTGAAACCTTGAGCTCTGTGTGACCTCTTTCCTGAGAGAGTTTCTGTTTATCCAGCAGTATCAGCGGTAAAACTCTGACAGGTTGTATAACAATACAAAAAATAAAGCATTTTAACATCCAGTTTGATGCACATTCAGAACACCACAATGGCAAAAGCAACACAATAAACAGTGTGTGAATGTGTGTGTGAATGGGTGGATGATTGGATATGTAAAGCGCTTTGGGGTCCTTAGGGACTAGTAAAGCGCTATATAAATACAGGCCATTTACCATTTTTAAACCCACAAACTCTCCAAGTAAGATAATCCACCCAGAGTTAGATCAGGTATACTTTGACTACATGGTGCCAGGTTCCAAAAGTAGTGCAATAAAACCCATAAGTCATAAAATAAATGCATAAACCTCGACTCCCAGCAGCACTAACAGGGATTAAGTAAAATAAAAGTGTATAAAATAATCACGGCTGCTAATCTGTAGTCACATGACTTCTCATAACTGCTGGAGAGAAACTGAAAGTGATAAAGATTAAATTAAAACAAAATGGTCCCGGGTTCAAATCCCGGACGAGCCCCCACTTATGTTACGGCCCGGCTCTGCTAGGCGGCAGCGGACGTAACATAAACGAGCCCAGAGACCAAGGAGTTAGATAGGAAGACAAACATAAGGTTTATTAACACAACTGAAATCCGTTAGTGAAACAACTCACTAGGCAGCAGAGAAACTTTAAGCAAACACCACGATTAATAACACCAGTAGAGCACTGCTCTACTAAACGTCTCGCAGGAGGCAACACAAAACACAGGCAAAAGGCAAAAGGCAAAAGGGAGGGACTCTCTGTACAGTCTGTTCAATTCAACAAGTCCCTCGACGAATGAAGACTCCTCAGCCTTTTATACTATCAGTTAACTGCAGTCAGCTGCGTCACTTGTCATAACTGCAGACAGCTGTGTCACTTGTCCGTCGTACTCCAGGCTCCTGCGTGAGCCAATGGTGTGTGTAGTCTGACAGGCTCGGATCCGCATGAAGTTGGGGCGGGCATATGTCCGGGCCAGCCAATCCCCCGTGAGTCCTGGAGCACTGTAGATTCCAGGGAGGAAGGCGGGGCCACCTGAGGCCAGCGGCCGTAACACGGGCATTCTGTGGTGTGTGTAGAGGACAGGTTCGGTGTTTACTTTCATTAAAATAGGTGAAAGGATAACCGGTGAAAACCAAATGAACCAATTGGCAACGTTCTCGAGAAAACTGAAAGGACAGGGGAAGGAGAGGGAAAAGCATGCAGCCTCTACAAACACTGAACTTTCTGTTACTGAAGTTTCAAAACCAGAGTTAGTTTTTCTAACTTTTTCAGTTTCTGAGCCTAATAATATAGACATAAGACTTTCAACTTAATTCAATTCAATTCTGTTTTATTCATATAGTGGCAAATCACAACAACAGTCATCTCAGGGAACTTTATATTATAAGGTAAAGAGCCTACACTCCTACAGAGAAAACCACAGATTCTATCTTGCTTTCTTTTCATAACAATTTCAATACTTTGTGATGCTGAATAGACAGAGTTTTACACAAGATTTTACAAAACATGTTTAAAATAAAGGGATGCCATTTCAAAATCAGAGATTGATGGAAAACAGAGCAAAGCAAACAAAGAAGAGAGAGAGAAAAAAGACGCTGTTAAATCTATTGCTTTTGCCACGTAGGTATAGAGGTCTGTCTTGGGGCCACCATACCATCGGCACAAGGTCCGAAATGCATTCCTCTTTTTCCTGCACATTCACTTGTGAGTTTCAGGCACACAAAACAGAACAACTTCTTACATGCTGGGCAGACAATATTTTTACACTCTTTTTTGTTATGCTCCACCAGCACGCCACAGGTGGGACAAGCACGGATGCAGGGACAACCACTGACATTATTCACAGACTCAAAGATGATATCTTCACAGTTTTTCAATATTTGAAGTGTTTTGTCGGAGCAGCCAACATTGTCACAGCGGTCTGACCGAGGCCGTGGACCCTTCCATTCCTTCAAACACTGCCAACAGAACTCATAGGTTCTGTCTTTTTCTTTGCTGCACCAGCTGCAGCAGACACTCAGGTTAGATACATCCTTTCTCACAACACATGAACTGCATCCAGGACACTGTGATGTGGTTGATAGTGGAGGAAAAGACAAGGCAAATAGCTTTGTTTATTCTTCAATTTGGTGGCCAAAGACATAATTACAGCTAATCTACAGTATGAAAAATGAAAAATAAACTAGTACAATTATTTGTCAACATGTAATAATAGCCTGCTAATGCTTCATGATTACAACATTCCAGTACTTACTAATTTGTAATCAAAATGATGCTTCATAGCATTCAAGGTCATGGTTTGTCCAAAGTACTCCTTTTCCTCAGGGGTCAAAAGAGCCATTTTACAAACCTCTCCGTAAGACCATATGATATCACAACCAGGTAGAGCACACACAAAGTTGATTTCACCCTGTAGTAAAACAGTTTTAAAAATATATTTATTAAAACGATAGTTTCTAAATAAACCCTAAACGCTGTTCTTAAGTGTAAGCCATCTAACCAGCAGTTTCAACATCAGGATCTGAATCCAACAAATTTAAGCTATAGTTTACTAACTTTAAATACTGAAACTACAAAAAACATTATATTGTATACTCTTTCTCACATTCAGCAATATCTCACTCCTTCCCCAGTAACAGTTAATGCACAAGAGAAGCTGAGAGAGATTTTCTTGAAACCATACACACCAGGGATGTGTCCAGTTATTCAAAAACCAAACCAAACCAAAATAAGTCAGATTGTCTCCACTAATGTGGACACTCTGACTTCTTGTAGATTCAGGCATAGTTTTAGCATTTAAAGTCACTTTTTGTGTGTGATTTGTTAACTTCAGTTCTACTTGTTGCATTGATTTTGGTAGGAAATTACTGTCTTTTACCAAAGTGAATATCTTGAAGTTCTTTCTGTCTTTCTTTCCTTCTTCTTGTTTTACATGTTGTTTTATAAGAAAACACATCCAGTGATCCAAGAGGCCCTCAAACTGAAAGAGCTTAAATAAATTTGTCCGTTTTATTTCATCATATCTGATTTTGCTAATGTGGAATTTCGAAATGCCTCTGGTCTAATTAATCATTAGTTTACAATAAAGACGAATAATAATGTAGCCTACCTCCTCCAACAACCGAAGACACCAGTTGGTTAGAGAGGATGGGGTCACAGCATGACCGCAGGACATAAGAGCTCTTCCAGACGCGAAAACATCACAGTAGACTAAAAAACAGAATAAAGAGTTTTTCGCAGACTGAAAAAAATGAGAGCGGACTAAACAAGAACATTTTTGGTTACTTACCAACACGTTCTTACTCCCAACTCGTCAAACGTGTGACGCATGGTCAGGCTCCCTCTGCTTCACTTATCGACGTGCAGGGTACCCCCCTCGTGTCGGGAATTGACGTGCAGGGTCCTCTCATTGAATACTATAGAGCTCCCTAAACATTGCCGCGGAAGAGCCTGTTGTCTGTATATTTATATATTTCCGAAATCACATTGTAGTGACGTATACTGAACACAATAAATTATATAATGTAAACAACTACCTGAAAAACAGGTAGAACGATACTTTTGTATGGTTTATTGCATTTATGGAGGGAGTGATGTATGCTGGGTATGGCACAGCTAGCTACTGGGTGACTTTATTCACCCGCTTCGGCTGTTATCAGTCCATACAATGGGCGTTATTAGCACAAATCAGTCCCATAGATATGGGCCATCTCCTGCTAGATTGTTCAGAAGGTTGTTCTCATCCATCCAGATGGAGGATCACTAACAGGAGCGTGGAAGACTCCAGAATCCACTCTGGCTGGAATCCGGTGGATATGCAGTGTGTACAGGTAAGACCATTTAAACAGACAGCATTTATAGAATGACTATTAAAAGTCAGCGAGTGTCAGTAATGTTAATGTGGTTATCTTAGTAATACACAGAGTGCTAATATAACAGCTTTAAGATGCATTTGTAGATATTATTACGTGTTTTACCGTCTTTATGGTGCTAGCTTAAAGTTACAGTGTAAACGTTAGCTTATATTGGAGTAAAGCTGTTACTGTTTAAACGATGTTAGCACAGAAATATTAGCTTCTGTCATGACTGATGAAGTTACTAGTTAATAAAGTTTTCAGTAAAGTGTTTAATCGCAGCCACAGATTGACAGCAAATATCTCGATTAGCTTCAGTGCATCTATAATAAATATGTGCAAGTTTCAGTGCTTCGTTTAAACTGTATGATACTTATACTGACCCAGGGTCAGTGTAAAATACAATCCTAGCTGTGTGAACAAAGCCTGGCTCCTTTAATCCTGCATGACAAACCTCAGGATGCAGGTTGTTATTACTGTTTCCTGCTGGCACACCTGTCACCAGGGCTGGACTGGGACAAAAAATCGGCCCGGGCATTTTGACTAGAGACCGGCCCACCAAAATGTGACGTCATTCAGGGGTAAAACCGCAAAGGATTCTGGGAACTTGTGGCAAGAGGTACTAGCGCATGCAGGCTTTCAATTGAACTCAGTTACACAGCAATAAAAAGAAACACAAAAAATGGCAAGAAGCTGTTGTATTATTAACTGCAATAGCCGGTGTTGTGCCAAAAAGTGATTGTCTGCAAAAAACTGATTTCTTGTATTTAAATTGCTATAAGTAACTTGTTGGGCTATAATATGTGAAACATATGTCAAATGCATCCCTCATGGATGACATAAAGTCATCTCTCCATCTCCAGCTCTCTCTCCTGCTCTTTTATTTCTCTCTTTTGCTCCATCTCTCTCTGCTGCTCTTCTGTCTCCTCTGTCACAGACTTCTCCACTTTTGATGATAAATCAGCCTGGTGCAACATGTAAGGATTGGCACAATTTGTTAAGATTTTGAGGAGTTTGAGAAACTAACCTTAAGCATAAAATAAAATTTACTATCAGTAACTTCATAGCACCCGCCCAGCAGTATATAAACTCCGTCATGCTAGCTAGTACGTAGTACCAGTTATTCTAAGCGACTGTAAAAAGTCAGCACAACGGAAACAAACTACAACTAAACTTGGTTTATATCTGACACAGATAGACAGCAGGTCAAAACCAGCTATGCCTGTCACACCTGAGAGTCAGCTAGAAACTTACAGTGACGTGGACATCATGCAAAGACTGCCAGACTCTGTAATACTGCAAATGATCAGTGACTCATGTTAACACTAAACTTTAAACGGCACCTCTGTGTCTCTGTGTGCTGAACATTTAGGATTGAGTGAGGCTGCATCAGCTGAAGCTGTTATTTGTATATATCAGTATTTTTTTTAAATTCAGGTGTGGGGAAAATACGTAAGACTGCAGTGAAGCGATGCACCAGATTAATCCCTGGCCAAAGGTATCGTACTTAAATCAGACTACTGATCCAGCCACATCAGCCTGTTGTGGGGTCTGTTTAAAGTAGACTTAAAACGAACTGCAGGTTCCTGAGAGGTGGACTGTGAGCACAGAAACACATGTTCATACATACAGCTGCAGCAAACTTACATTAAATAGATTTGTTACTCTGATGTCTGTCTCTGTGTTAGTCC